TGTTAACTTGACTAGCGAAAAAAAAACAAAGTCGTCCGATACGTGCGGTCTGATGGCGCTAATAAAAAAAAACAAATTCCTCTTTCGTATCCCCACGACGAAACGTTCTGTGCTACGGATTCTAAAGAAATATCTAATTTCTCCCCCCTTTTAATTGTAAAAATAAAATGGTTTGCGCGCCATATAAATACGAGTTGCTCGCGCGCCACAAGAATACGATTGATCGCGCGCCAAATACACAAGAAAAACGAAATGTCTATCTAATAATCGAATACGAAGTACCACCAAAAATCACCTACACAACCAAACAGCTACCCGAATGCCTGGATAATGCGAGAATCGCGCGCCAATTTAAGCTAACATCCCAGTCAAACTTCTGCCAGAATTGAAATACCTAAATTACCTAATCTTTAATCGCGCGCTGACCTAGTTTACTCTAACCCAAAGGGATTGGTTTCATATTGTATCTTCGCAAATTCTACAGCGCCACTCCTTTAGTTTAGCAAGAGAACGTGAGAGAGAGTTTTATAACACCCTAAACATCCTATAAGAAAATCCCACAGCAAGAGAATTTAATGCATTGACACAAAAATCCTATCACAGAAAAAAATTCACATAAAAATGCAATTATGGCACACAAAAAATCAAAAATTAGCTCAACAGTAACAGAAGAAGAAAAAAAAAGAAAACTTAATTATTACTCCAATTGTCAATTCGTCACTGCCAGTTTTTGAACCCCACACCGACTGCACCACTTGATTACGGACTATTTTTGTTTAATAGGAAATTTCGTTTTATTGAGGAAAAATTTGGTTTATTGTTCCAAGACTGTGACGATGATGGATGTCGTCCTTTTATTCCTATTTGCATATAATCGTTGTGCGATATTTGCCCACGCTCTTTATTGAACTGTCCGCTTTAAAACTCACGGCAAACTATCAATTTTTAATTTGTCCTCGGCAGAGTTTTCCCTTTCATAAAAACATTTTTAAACTGTCAGGTTGGTTGTACGGGATTTTACGTTATCCGAGTGGTCAAAGAGGCGCATAGAAAGTTCTCTACTACTACTGGCAGTGCGATTCAACAAGGAGAAAGACACACACATTTATCTCAACTTCATATACTAAAAAGGAGCACTATATCCTACACCTAGTTACCGGTTTAGGCACGGTGACAATAACGAGAGCCCAGGCTTACTTGCCCGAAAGAAAATCCTATCCTATACCGAGCTGGCATGAGACAACAAAATGTTGACAATGTTACTAACAGACACGGAATTAAATGTAATTAGATCGTGAGGACTGAACAAGGTGGCTATACACGAGAACGCTATATCTTATCAACTTAACATGGGTACATCACCGCATCAATGCCGCGAATCCATCTGATCTCTGCCTGTGAGACTGGTGATTTTCGGCTCTTGACGAAGCTCTTTGGGCGAGGGTTACTGGAGACGTCCCCTCGACGACAGTCGGCTGTCTTCTAATACGGCTATAGTAGGCTGGACGCTCAATCGGGGTGTATTTTCTTCGCTGGAGTTCAGGCAACTTGCAGGCAGATGATTCTTCTCCGGAACTCACACCGTGGAATACTTGCAGACTTTGCTTCAGTCGTAATCCGGGCAATATTTTGGGTTGTCGTTGGTTTCTTGTAGGCGTCGGTGGCTAACACTGCTCCGGAACTCCCACAGTTGAATACTTGTAGACTTTGCTTCAGTCGTAATCCGGCAATATTTTTGGGTTGTCGTCGGTTTATTGTAGGCGTCGTTTCTAGTGCCCCCACAGTTCTGCGTGGCGTTGCCCACCTGGCCTCGTAATCGCACGCCTCCTTCAACACTTGGGCATAATCACCCCTCTTTAATGGCAATACTATGGGTTGGTATTGCCTGGGCAGCCCATCGATGAACGTTCCGACCATGAGGGCATTTCGCCTATCGTCATCGGGGTACTCGGGTAACACGTCCTGATATTCTGCGATTATCTCCTCTATTTGGCTGCCAAATTCATTTACGCTCATATTGCCTAGGCGAAGCTCTCGCAGTCGTGCATATGCCTCCTTGGAACAGCTCTCGCTATTAAATCGGGTTTCAAGATGCGCTTTTATCTCCCCGTATCCTAGATTTGCGTACCCTGGTTTGCAGCGTAACCAGTTAGCCGCCTTCCCCTTGCATAAGGTGATAAGCACCTTACGCTTTTGATCCTCGTCCCAACCGGCGAGCTCACTGCGTTGTTCGAATGCTTTCAGGAACTCGCTGAGGCTACCACGACCGTCAAACACTTCGTGCCTTCCTACAACTGAAACCTCCACTTCACCTCCGTTCCCTGCCATTTTTGTATCGATCGCTTTCCCTGTGTTTTTAAATTAATCTAATCCCGATTATCCTCGGTGCCCACAAGAAAACGTACGTTCTAACTTGACTAGCGAGTAAAGAACAAAGTCGTATGATACGTGCGGTCTGATGGCGCTATTAAAAAAAACAAATTCCTCTTTCGTATCCCCACGACGAAACGTTCTGTGCTACGGATTCTAAAGAAATATCTAATTTCTCCCCCCTTCTTAATAGTAAAAATACGATGGTTTGCGCGCCATATAAATACGAGTTGTTTGCGCGCCACAAGAATACGATTGATCGCGCGCCAAATACACAAAAAAAATTTATATCTAATAATCGAATACGAAGTACCACCAAAAATTACCTACACAACCAAATAGCTACTTGAATGCCTGGATAATACGAGAATCGCGCGCCAATTGAAGCTAATATCTTAGTCAAATTTCTGCCAGAATTGAAATACCTAATGTTTTAATCGCGTGCTGACCTAGTTTACTCTAACCCAAAGGGATTGGTTTCATATTTTATCTTTGCAAATTCTACAGCGCCACTCCTTTAGTTTAACAAGAGAAAACGTGAGAGAGTTTCACAACACCCTAAACATCCTATAAGAAAATCCCACAACAAGAGAATTTATCGACCCCAAAAAAAAATCATATCACATACAAATTTCACCAAAAAAATGCAATTATGGCACACAAAAATGCAATTATGGCACCCCAAAATTAGATCCCTGGTAAGCAACAGTAACAGAAAAAAAAATAAAACTTAATTATTACTCCAATTGCCAATTCGTCACTGCCAGCCTGAACCCCACACCGACTGCACCACTTGATTAGAAATATTCCGTGTCCTACTTCTACTTTATTTCTACTTTCCTTTTAGTCTTGATGTAGTGATTGCAACCGTGACTATGCTTTAAGTAGATATAGGCGATTTCGGCGGTAAGTATTTCTCTTTGTTCCGGTTATTTCGACCGGTTATTTCGACACCTATGATAATCTCTTCAATCGCCGCGATTAACTTTTCTCTCGATATCCAACTGTCAGGTTTTAGCACGAGTGGTCAATAGGTCGTGATGGAAGGTTCTCGACACTGGCAGTGCGACTTAACAAGGAGAAAGACACACACATTTATCTCAAACTTCATATACTAAAAAGGGGCACTATATCCTACACCTAGTTACAGATTTAGGCACGGTGACAATAACGAGAGCCCAGGTTTACTTGCCCGAAAGAAAATCCTATCCTATACCGAGCTGGGCGTGAGACAACAAAATTTTGACAATGTTACTAACAGACACGGAATTATAAATTTAATTAGATCGTGAGGACTGAACAAGGTGGCTACACGAGAACGCTATATTTTATCAACTTAACATGGGTACATCACCGCTTAAATGCCGCGAATCCATCTGATCTCTGCCTGTGAGACTGGTAATTTTCGGCTCTTGACGAAGCTCTTTGGGCGAGGGTTACTGGAGACGTCTCGATGACAGCCGGCGGTCTTATAATACGGCTATAGTAGGCTGGACGCTCAATCGGGTGTATTTTCTTCGCTGGAGTTCAGGAAACTTGCAGGCCACTCTAGTGAATCCAGAATCTATTCGCAGGTCGATTGACTTCAGGAATAAACTATCTTCGTCGATACGTGGTGTTCAAATAGTTACAGGACTTCGTTGATTAGAAAAACAACGACTAAAATATTCTCTTCTGAACAGTACTTCGAGGCTCACGATACTTGCGGTAAACGGCGTGTTAAAATGGTCTCTTCTGAACGGTACTCGAGGCTCACGATACTTGCGGTAAACGGCGTGTTAAAATGGTCTCTTCTGAACGGTACTCGAGGCTCACGATACTTGCGACCACTTGCGTCCACGATACGTCTGACTGCCTCGAACACCCGAACGGGACTAACCCGCGGTCGGCCCGCTCTCTCTCTTAAATACTGCGCCGGTCTCGCGCAGCGCTCTAGCTAGGCGGTTTGAGCTCCTCCCTCGAAATCCCGAGTTTATGTCTATCATCAATCCCTAATTTTATGTAAAATTTATTCCTATTCCTAATCAGAAGAACCCTATTAAAATACTGGTTAGAATTGCAATTTTTACTGCAGGTAGGGTCCGGTTGCCACAAAATAACTAAGAGGCTTTTTCAATCGCGCCAGGAAGTCGCAATACAGTTTTGTTAAGAGATGTTTCTATCAGAGGCCCGCTACGTAAGAAGTGTATTGGCGAAGTTAGTAAGTGCATTACGGTGCGCGGGACAGGATGATCCTGTCCGTTCACCACCATCACACTCCAGATGGCGATATTTTCCGTATATTAACACAACTGAGCTTTATTTGTATGCTGTCGCTGCAGCAGAGTTTCAATTGTTTACGTAACATTTTTAAGAGGTGAAACATATATCATGTAATCCTGAAACATGTTGAGTAGAATTGCCACGAAGAAGTGTAGATAATCAAAGATCAAACTTCTCATCATTTTATTGCTCCGTCTGCAGAAATTCCATCAGGACCTTCATTGGACAAATCTATGCAGAAGATGTCTTAGCACGTTCAGTGTGGCATGACACACAAGTGGGCTGCAGGGTCTCTTTTCCGGACAAATTCCGCGATTTAGTTTATTCAATTGCGTCTGCCGACAAAAATTTATGATAGCAGGATTACCTCAATAAATTTTTAAAAAAAGTACGAAAAAAAATTAAATTTTTGCACCGGAACCGGAGCCATCTGGCAGCGCTGGTAGGTCGTGCTACACTCAATGTGCTAACAAACTGGCAGAGATTTATTGGGGTCGACGCAAATAACGGGACGTTTTTTCCCGTTGCATGGCGCGGTAATCAGTACCATTCTAGGATATGTAACCCCGAACGCGCATTCGTTGTCTTTAGGAGTTGTCACCCAATAATACTTTGGCACCGGTGTGTTGCTAGGAACGTGGACCCAACTTCCGTTGATTCTTCGTGCGTTCACCCAAATTTCACCCAAGTCTGAGGAATTAAAGAAACATACTTCAATGCTCTTCGAATAATTGTACGCAATATCAATACTTCTAATAATTGTACGCAAGAATAATAAAAGGAACCTTTTCAAAGGAAAACTGCTGAATTTTCAGGCATTTTCTTTGCATTCAATTTTCGGTTAATTTGCGATTTGAGGAAACAAATAGCATTAAGTTTCTGACCTGGATGACCGAACTTGCCGATGGTTTCCAGCGCGTTGATGAGCTTGTCTTGCGTGTCAATCTCGAGCAGAAGCAGTCCATGGTAAGCGCAAAAGGCCACCGCATCACAGAAGTACTCTTTTCTGAGGGTGCTGCTGCTGTTGCAAGGAGGGCTTTCGCAGGCAATGTAAACGCAGGGAGACTTGTTGTTTGGGCAACACTGTAGCGTTTTCTCCGGAAGACCTGTTAGCTGAGTCCCAGCTATGAAAAATGTTCATCATTATCAACTAGCATAATGAAAATAAAGCATCGTTTCTTAATTAGCAAAATTTCTAGCGTGAATGTCAGGCCAGGAAAGGAGAAACTAAGTTAAATCAGGTTTGGAAACTCACTTTTCCATACATATTTGACATGACGTTGTGTTGAATGAAAGAATTTTAGCTTAAAAATAATTGCCTACACCTCACACACAATAAGCATATTATTACTACGGAAAATTTTTATCGCAAATGAC